GACCGCCATATTGTGGTGTTATGGGGTTATAATAAACACAATAGTGTAGAGTAATGTGCAAAAGCGTCTGCGTCGGCCGGCATTCGAATCCAGGTCTTACTATCTCCGGGAACATTGCTATACCGTTGCACTCCACTATTTCTACGTACAATGCGTTATCTCTCAACTGCCAATCGTCAACTGTTTGGCGGAGCAGTCACTATTGACAGTGAAACCCAATTATGTAAACCGATAATGATTTTCCAGTAATCGATTAGAATCCATTATATTTGATAGCATATTGGGTGTCCATGATGTTATTACGAATCCGATAATGTAGAGTTGGTGTGCAAAAAACGTTTGCATCAGCCGCGCGATTCGAACCAAGTTTTCGTTTTCGAAAAGGGGCTTCATAATGTGCTGTAACGGCCAAAAGATGATTGGGTTTCACAACAGCTGACAGGGTGTGTTTTAATCAAAGAGACTACGTTTGCCACATCGCCAAAAAGTCTCGTGAACGAAAACGCAAGCTTTATTCAATGATCTTTCTTGCACTGACGTTAGGTATATTAACATGTATTTTTTGTAGGAAAACATAACTGCGTCTTTTCAGTATTTTGTACAGCATAAATTCTCCAAACGAGCTAAACTCGGTGAAAAGTAGGAAAACAGCGATGGAAAGGCAACCGATGTTGCAGCGGACTGCTGTCGCTTGCTGCGAAATCGTGTTCATATACAGGTAAAAGCGTGATGGCTTGGCGCCAATATGGCAAAAAATCATATCCATATACCGCAGCACGGTAGCTGAAGCCAGTTTGCCCTACGCGGAACTCTATTAACATTCTTTTAGATTCTTAAGTTCAATAAAAAGTCCTTTTCAAAAAACCACGTACATTGGAAATGATATGATTTGAGCTAATAGAACGATAGCTAAAAGTCTGAAGGAAAAGCTTTTCTTGCGAGAAATATTTGAATGAGTAGCATAATTTCTATTTTTACTTTGGCAACGCAATAGCGCAGTCATACCGAAGGAAAGTGTTCTATTAAATTCTTGAGATTCGATCTATTAGGCGATTGTTGAAACTTGAAAGAAAGCATGAGACACGTACTTCTTAAGGGATCGAAGCGGATAATAGAAGGGATCTATGTTTTACAAAACCCAATCTTCTCTAACTGTTATAGCGTACTAAGATCACCGTTCAAAAACATGAACACACATTGGAATTCCTGAAATTTGACTTATCGAATACTTTTGAAACCCTAAACAAAAACTTTGGCCAGCTATAATTTTTGAATGAGAAACAATTAGTTGAGCTATGAAAATAAATATGTAAACATTAGAAAACGACACCAAAAGATAAGTCTTCTCTGGAGGGTCGTAACAGACGACGGATAACGGAAAAGTATTCCCCTAGTCTCCAAACGAAAATGGAATTTTTTAAAGATAATTTTTGATTGGTGCAAACTATTACTACTAACATTTCAGGTTTGAAACTGCGGAATTCAAGACCAATGAGAAAAAGGTTCGGCAAAATAACAGCCAAAAACATCAAAGCAGCTTTCTGCCACACTGCTAATAGATAACAAAGTTACACCGTGGTGAAGAGAAAGTCATTTGTATTAAGAAATTTCGTCTACCCTTGCTTCGCTGTCTACATCGTAATTTTTTCAAGGATTACCAATAAAGCAAAAACGAAGCTCCGTGATCACAGAGAACACCTGGCAAGTGTACATATGACGCTTTATTGAGCATTTTTGAAGTTTTATTGAACACTTAGAACAACATTAAGGAAGGAATTGAGTAGAAGAAGGATAGCAGCATGTGCCGCATTTGGAATCTCAAAGTAGACACCGACCATCCATCTAAAAGATTCAAAACTCGCACTCCCCTTTGCAATTCGACAGCCACTCTTAGCCGTTTTCTATGCAGCAGCAAGTCGCGAACTGATGCTTCCCACGACAAGAATATTGCGCACGACTCAAGTTCATAAGATATCTTTCGAAATATAACCGGCAAACAGAACATTCTATCGAGGGATGCGACATTTGGTCATGCAAAAATCTTCTTCATTCCGAGAACAGAGTGTAAAAATTGGTACCAAAGCACGGATGAGTCGGTTACCTAATGACATTGTGACAATGACATGTACCACTCAAAATGTGGACCAATATCAATCGTACGTGTGAAGCTCCGCAAGAAACGCATCACGTTTTTAAGGGGGACTACGTGTACGTTGAATGGACCTGTCTAGTGGCCAGAGTAGTCAACCTGAGCTCACAGCAGCCTATAATTTACAGGATCAGTGTATGGGCTCACCATCCGCTGCCATGTTTGAATTAGGCCACTATTATGATATCATGCCTCAAATAACCTTTTTTGTCTCATTAAAATCAGTGATGGGAGAAAGCTTTTTGTTGTGGTTGCTGTTCTAACGTCGTAGCTTTCTTCGAAATCTCAGTTATTCAAGTTGAGTATTCACAACTTGCTGTATAGGTACCTTTGTAAGCACAAATGTTGAATGAAGAGAAACGTGTGACGTCGCTTAAAATGATTAATCTCACTCGATGGCTTCCTTTTGATAGAGTACATGTTTTGAACTTAATTGCCAGTTTCTAACTATTTCTTTCTTGGCACCATTATATTATTGCCAAGAATATACTGGTATTAGCTAGCATTAAATTGTGATATATCCAGTATTGCCGAGTGATGGGCGAGACTCAACTTTGGGGCGGAAGCTAAACTTGCATCTCACTGTTTTAACCGAGCACGAACTAACCACTGCACTACCAGGGCTTCTGTTCCATCGCTCATTCTCAACAATAATATTTTTCTGTATGCTAAGTAAGAATAAGCCCAAAATTAGGATTTGTGGTAACTTTGGTTCATATATGGAAATATTTTGATTAGCTGAGGCGAGAGTGGTATAGTGGTAGTAAAAAAAAAGCTCGTCCTGATGGTGCGCGAGTTGTTCAACAACATCGTCGCGGGGCGTAACATGATTTCAACTGACATAGCACATCTGAGTACACGTGGCGCACTGGTTAGAGATGCTTTGCGTCGCACACCGAGGACAATGTTTCAATCTCGCGTTTATGGCTCGCCAAGCCATCCATCCCTCTGGAGTCGGTAACAGGGTACCAGATAGGTCCTCAGATATATATCGCAAAATCCAGATATGCATTCAATCCCTTCAAACAAAGCTAAGAATTGAAGCCAGTGCATGGCTGCAACCTTCAGGGATTGATCAACGCCGTGAGCATTACCCTTTATAACACATTTGCTTCTTTTTATTCTGTGTTTGCAGCCGTTACAGCTTGAAAAATGCCGATTTTGATGCTTAGCTCCAGCTTGTAAAAGAACCTCGTTTACACGCTCCACCAGCGAGAGAATGATGCTGTTTTGCATTCGGTGTCGTTGTTGCAACATCAAGACGATTTGTTTGGTATTACAAAGTAGAACTGTGACTTCAAGCTAGCCTATTTCCATAAAAAATTAATTTGCTATTGGAAGGCACTTCCTTACACGTACTTTTTTGGAAAAAAAAAACGCTCGTTTTTGCTGAATCTCCACTTTTCAGTGCGACGCGTACAGATTACACTGATGAATAATATTCACGGTTGTGTACAATTAGGTACATCATGAGACAATAGATTTGAAGTTCCTCAATAAAAAGTGTAGAGTTTCCAACACCCTAAAGTACACTAATGTGGGGCTATTGTATTGAACATTGCAACTGACTATTTTAGACCTTGTTCAAAAGCATTTGATTTTAACAGCGCATTTTAAGCCTTACCTAAGGCATGTTACGGGCACTTATACAGTAAAAGGACACCGTGTTTGCGGTCTTTCCAGCCTCAGCAGTTGCACAGTGCCTTTTTCGTTCAGCTCTTCGGTGATCTACCTCTATAGAGAAGAAACGTTCTAACACCCGACGTACGGTTGAAACAGCCACCGGGCGTTATTTCTAAGTGTCAAATGTGATTTTGTCGACTGTATCATGTACCGTGGAACTGACGAGGCTACAAGGCCGAAACACGTGTCTTCCACTGTATAATGCCAATAACGGACTTTATGAAAGACTCAGAATTACACTGTCAGATTATATCGGTTCACTGTTAAGCCATACCAATAGAATCCTATGGCACCGCAAGGTGCAATATCATTTCTCATGAGCAATTCATTGTTTTGTAATTTTTATGGGCATGTGTCAACCACAAATAGACGTATTGATTCGTTTACCGATCAATAACTGCCTTTAATGTTTATAGAAAATCTGAATTCGTAAAAAAAATCACCAGATTGTCATGACAATGGTCGCACTCGTCGCACAAAAATCAAACGACGGAGTCAACGGGTTAGGAACAACGATGGGAATGCAGTGAACTGAAGTATGTTGGAAAACCACATAATAGGCATTCGTGTGAAAAATTTTCACCATCAAAATCCCTAGTTCTTAGAAACATCACTGCATAGTTTTTACTCCGAGTTTTTTTTTCGGAAGACTGCTGTGACTTTTTAATTTCTAGTTGTTCAGGTGAGAAACAGGGGTAGAAGGTAATTCAACGGCAAGCAGGATGAATACGCCGATACCGAAAGATGAAAAAATGCCTAGTCTTTTTTGTCACAATAACGTACGTCGACTGAAACGTGTAAATGTAGCGTTCATATAGTATATATATATAATTATTTATATATATATATATATATATACATATATATATATATAATATATATATTCATTCCACACTTTATGCGGCTCGAGGAGGACGGGGCTCACAGGAGTTTTCCGAATATCATCGCATTTTTCACTTCCAAAAAGAAAAGCAGAAGAGAAAAAGAACTTCAGACTAGAAAAAGTGGTCAATGGTCAGCTCAATCAACGAAAAGCAATCAGGGAGCCTCAACGTAAAGCTAAAAAGTACGGTGTTAGACTGCTCGAAAATTGAGGCAAAAATTATGCTTCGTTTTTCTTTATATCTCTTATAAACACCTAAGAGAAACTGGATGGTGAGCAAGAAACGACCTCAAGCGGGAGTTAAATCCGCGTTTCATCCTATCCGAGGACGCGTGCTCTACCACTACACCAAAGAGGCACAATTGCCCAGCCACTCATTTTTCAACATCTCCATGTTAGCTATCAGCCACCAACCTTTAACAGGTTTGGTCATGAATGCGATTTGCTTTATAAACCCAATTGAGCTGACAGCCATTACGATACACTCGAAATCTTTGGTGTTATTACTAACTTTTGCAGTGTTATGGTGTGTCATAAATACCTAGGAGAATTGAGTGGTGAGCAAAAAACGGCCTCAAGCGGGAATCGACTGCTCACCACTCAATTCTCTTAGGTGTTTGTGGAAGATCACAACTCTGCGAAAAGGCAGTAATAACAACAAGAATTTCGTATATATTTTTCGTAATGGTTTTTTATGTATGCTTTTACTGTGTGTAATCGAACTGCAATAAGTATTGTTTTAATCTTTGCAAATCGGAATTAGGTCGTATTGCATCGTAAACGGTTCGAAACACTAAAAAGGTATGTGATAGGAAGTGTTAATGAAAGCGTAGCGAGCTGGATTGAGAAAAATTAGATTTCAAGCAAACAGGCACACATACGTACATACATGCACTTATAGGCACTCTCGTACATGCACACGCACACATAGACACTCATGCTTGTCAGATTAATCTTTTCATTTCGGTAAGAAGAGAGACCGCTGAAACGTGAGAGATTGTGAAAATGAAGTAATAAGAACTATATAGCACCTATTATGCGGAAGAACTATTACTTTTAATCATCTCTTATGCTTGTGACAATCAATTTATCTGACTGCAGATAATCACTATAGTTATTCGTTGCGTAGTAAATCACAACAGCCAGCCGTGAATCTCACACAAGCTTGCCGATGCATTTGAGCAACAATAACCAGCTTCTGTTTCAAACATCAGCCGGCAGTGTGTCCGTGCAACACAAAGACTCGTTCCATTCAATCAGCAATCAAGAAATGTTTTCCATAAAATTCGGGCAGTCTTGTGCTTTACAGCTATTTACAGTCTAACCGAAGCAGAATCTTGGGAAGAGTAACGCCGCCAGTAGTTTCACTCGTCTACAGGCGCTACTTGGAGCTCGGCTGTGACTTCCACCTTTCCTGGCTCTACAATATTCTAGTCATATCGCATTGTAAAAGAGCGCATGTGGCGCAGTGTTACAGGTGCTCTGCGTCTCACACGAGGTCAATGGTTCGATATCGCGCTCATGGCTCACCAAGCCATCCATCCCTCTGCGGTCGGTAAGCTATACGAGACAGGTCTCGGACTCGTCCAAGAGGCGAAGCAGCACTGACTTGATACAGCGGGAGGCCACCGCGAGTCACTGTAAAGGCCAGATATGCATTCGATCATCTCAAACGAAGTCAAAAATTGAAGACGAATGTATGGCGCATCCGCAAGAGATTGATCAATGATAAGAGCTTCATCCTTTAACCTTTATCGCACTGTAGTTCATGTCGTTGATATCGCCTATGTGTAAAGTCACTGCACCTTACAGTGTGTAGCTCCTCTCATTCATCTAGATAATTAGGGTACGAGACATCTAACAACTAGGCTCACATCAATCGCTTCATCATGAATTGTCAATATTGCGTTACATCTCGTAATTGTTGTTTCTTCAACGGCAATTATGTTGTGATTGTTACTTGCTATAGATTATTCGCTACGGCGATGAACAGGGTTCGTTGGCCTCAGGATCGACGCTGTTCGTCATCAAATATTCTAGCTAAAGACCCACGTGGAAGGAATAATAGATGAAATCGAGTAACTCATCCAGCACACAGCACACACTAACGCGCAATAGGAACAAAGCCTAACTACTCTTGTGCAATCGTCAAGAAAGCTTAACTAATCAAAGCACTCTCCATTAAAAACCAATATGAACAATATGTCTACTCATCGAGAAGACAGTGGAAAAGGGCGCACATCTATAAAACATACGTAGTGACAGACAAAGACGTATATGTACACACGTAGATCGATGCAGACGTAAACACATAAATATAAAACATTAAATAGGAAACAACTTCAAAATTGTAGTTCATGTGACTACCAGCCTGGTGATCGTTGTTTGCTTGATCTCCATTTCAGCAACTTAGTGGAGCACATGTTAAAAGCGCTATTATGAAAGTTATTTTGTAGCGGCCGATGTGATTGGAACCTGGATTTGGTGAGTTTTTTCTAGTGAAGTAATGGAGATGTTCGGCCGACTAGCTTGTGGGAAGCTTGATCTTCCCACTCTCTAAGAACGAGGACAGCAAAAACGTCAGCTGTTTGAATAAATTGTGTCATAAGAATCTCGTGTTCAACTCAAAAAGAAAGACAAGGAACTATCTGATAGAACACTCACAGCAACGTTCCGCATCACGTATTGTTATGTTGATTCTAACAGTTTTCGTACTTTTTGTGAGTTCCTCAATTGAGAATTCTTGCTCCTCAGATCCAGCGATGAACCTTATGCTCAATGCTGAAGGAATGGCATTCTATGGCAGAAAATTATCTGAAAAATTTTAGACATTGACGAGAATGGTACAATATTAAGAAAAAATTATGAGATATTTAGTAAGATTAAAGCATTTTGTTCTCATAATGTCACAGCGAACTTCTAATTTGATCAATTTGACAATATTCACTAACTTTTCTTTTTGTTATCTGGACAAAATAATGCGCTCAAATCAGGAGCCCTCATAAAGAATTTCACAGCATTCTTCTGCTGGGAAAGCGCGGTTTCTTGAGCTTCCGAACAGGTGAGAATAGCCTCATTACTAGATATCTTCAAGTGCTATCACAGTCGTCTTTGATTTCATTGACTCTAAGTGGAAGTGGGGAAACTTTTTTAATGGGCCCTATCACTAAATTCTACTGAACAGAAGATTATGTCACGCAAGAAATAACCTCAATTCCGTTCATAGATTAAAAAAAGGAGAAGACAGTGCTAGTCGATCACGAAAACATAAGTCAAATTTCATAATGGGTAGTTAGCTCGACGAAAATTGTGAGCGTTGCTCGTTCATCTCAGGATTATTGCCATGCTTGTGACTCCATCAAGGCGACAAAATGCATTTGTGCTGACCATAATGACTTGTGGTCGTCTACCGTTCAACGGAAGTGATTGGCAGTACTTCACTCTATTGGGCTTCATCGAGAGAAATTCTTATGAATGTGGTCAACAACAACCATAGAGCACACCAGCATTCGTGAATAGTGCGAAACTCATGTACTGGCTACCTGTAAATGGTGACATAATGATCGAAGTAAATAAGTAGCGCTGATCACCACATTGAGCGTGTTGTGTAATACCAACCATGGAATTATTCTGAAACTCATTTTTGAAACTGAACAAAGCTGAACTTGCAGAAAAACGGGCACATGAGTGCATGAATTACTTCCGATTACCTTTAAAAATTGTAGAGGTTTCTAAGTAATATCATGTCAAAACTCAATTAAAAAAAGAAGCCTTGTGTAAGGGGAATGGACTGAACTGGATGGATCACACAACTGGGTAGACAGTTGCATACATGATTCTTAAACTTCTTTGAGTCTGTATAACAACTTGGAACACAACTCGATGGAAGACAGCGAGCAGCATAAAGCCGAGCTTGAAACTTTGCCAGAGAACATTGGCTACTTTAAATATCCTAACACATCTACTTATTTGACGCTATAGTCCCAGTTCTGCAGGGCGGGAACATGTGCCAGTTTTTCCTCAATAAAACCACGTCTTTTGAGAAATCTTTCAACAATGAACCCTAGTCTCCGCAGTCCACATCTTGCAAAGATGCCCTCATCTTTGAAGCAGAGTAAAATATGCATCAACATCAAAGGGCAAGTTCGATGGGAGGGGGGGGTCTTTGTCTTTATAACGAGATGGAACGATGACTGGAGAATGAAAGAGCAATGGAGTGGATTTATAAAAACACCTTAGGCTGGACACATAATACGTTCTGCTGACAGCGGTTGACGATTAGACGTAAGCCGGAAGATTCCTTTGAAATGTCTAACACACAATAAGAAGGCCACCTGGCCCAAGCAATCCCTTCGACGAGGAGGTCTTTCTGGGGCTGTTTGACGTATTAGGAAAATAGGGAAAGCTCCGCTGCAGTCACTCGACAGTCAGCGAGACAGCATATTATAGAGGTGATGGCAACTCCGTACAAAAAAACGTCTTGAAATATGTGGATTCATAACAAAATTCGTATTGAAAGTTGCAGGCAGAATACTGTTGCGAAACTACTCGTTGTTCGGAAATTCGACCAAAACGACACGGAAGTCTCTAATCACGAAACAGCTGTAAATGCAATAGCGTATTCAGTTTCAATCACGGCTTGTACAACTGATAAACAGCGGTATGATAACACAGCGTTGATGGTGCTTTCGATTTTTCATTGGCGGAATAGTTGAAACAAAATTCACTACACTTCAAGCCGGAGACTTTTTGTCAGCACTTTAGAAATGAGTAAAACCTTCCTGTTTCGAACACTATATCGTTCACTATAAGGATGAGGAGTTCCACAGCGAAATAAAAAACATGTCTCACTACGATTGCAAAAAAATTCTAGAGCGACTTCAGTAAGCATGGGATAACTCTCATGCATATCATGGAAATATTGCACTTTCTCATGTGGGATTTTCCCACGATGGGCCTACATATTATTGTTCTTTATTTTCACTTTGTTAAAGCCTTCGCTCTGTCTAACGACGTAATCGCAGTTGGTGTTTTATTGTGTCATCATTGGAAAAAAGAGTCTTTTCACATCGAGCTGCAGTCGATGAAATCAACGAAGTTGAAAAGGAAGGCACAACAAGCAAATCCTCTGATGGACGCTGGTTTCAACGCTTCTCAATGCCGGAGATCTTGACCTCGAAGACAAGCTCGTTCAGGGCATCAAACAAAGTTTGAGTTGTTAGACGAAGCTGAAGAAGCACGTAAAGAGTTCTTTGACTAGATGTCGAAAGAAACTTACTCCGACCAGCTCTGAAATTTGGCGTGCCGTGGCGGAAAAAAACGATGGCCTTTATTGTGAAGAATAGTCATTATTGCTTTGTTTGGAATTCATGCATGAATTTTTAGTTTTCTGCAAGTACTCCAGAACTTTTTTTCAACCTAATAATTTGTTTAGAGATGTAGGGTCACCAAAGAGCTCTTCAAAATTCGAAATCTCGGCCGTCGTATGCTCCGCAACAATTCAGTGAACGTGAGGGCGAGTAATATTGTCCAACTGGGAAAAGGTCGAATGGCATCAAATTTTGTTGCTTTTTTTCTCTCTAACACAGCAATATCTGCCTCGAAACGTTATTGTTGGCAAAAATCTTCAGGTCTTCAAACCTCGAAAACTGATTGAAACGAATTGATCACTTAGTGTAGTGAAGAAAACTCCAAATTTCAGACGATTTTTCCGAAACATTACAGAAATGGAGAGACCACTAGAGGTTGGAACCACTGCACAAAGAAATGAGATTTCACTACATGAAATGTGCAGTACAAATGTTGCTATGCCTGCACATCGTGCGGAAAATGCGGAAAAGGACGGCGTTCTGTAAACATCCACTTTGAAACGTTTGAAGAGATGAATAGAGTAGGGTCTGCTTATCATCACATTAACTACATTCTTGAACATCGCCCACTGTATTATCTCGTTTCAATACATTGGCGGTTTCATTGATGGAAAGTATTGCCCTGTCTCACGGCAATATTTGATGTCTTCATGCAGCTGTTTATTCGAGGACCCAATCCTGACACGATTTTCCGATAACGTCCTCATATAGGCGGACTTTTGCTAACATAATTACACGCCTATTTCTCAACCATATCATTAAAATTCTATAGAACTGTTCAATTTGGCTATCAGTTGACCACTCCGTTTAAACTATAATTAATGAGCCTGCTAAATTTAAGAGGTTAACAGGAACATCAAAGTTTCACAAGCTCAATTTTTGCTTAGAAATTTGTCACCGGAAAATTTGGCAAGGAGAATTGCCCTTCGTTTTTATCAATCGATATCTTCTTGGAAAAGTTTTCCTCAGAATCGGATTTTTCTCAGTTGTGATTCACGCGCTTTGTCGATTGTCGTAGAATCAGTATTAAGAAGGCGGGAACCAAGTATGAGCCGAGCAACTCGGAAAATTGGCGCATTCATTGGAATTTTACCTCAACCTTTCGCTCCCACGCAGTCCATTTTCATTCATTTGACAGAGATTTCTTCATCTCGATAACTGGTTTTTTGAGCCTTGCATTAGCACAATTTGTCACGAATTACGCTTGCCTCCATATCGATATAGGCTGTCCTCTACCTCCGACACCTGGTCTTAAAAACCATTTTTATTATGAGTATAGCAGAAGGCAGCAGATGCAATTTAGCGCAAAGACTTTACATATAACTAAGAGAAATGTGCCTCGATGGTGTAGTGGTAGCACGCGTCCTAGTTAAGGATGAAACAAGGGTTCGATTCCCGTCTGAGGCCGTGTTTTTGCTCACCAATCAATTCTCTTAAATGTATGTGAAACATCTCACACTGCGATGAAAGCAGTAAAAGCACTAGAATTTTGGAGCAAAGACATAATTTCTGCATAAAGTTTGATTACGCTTGGTCAACGTACTGAATTTATCTTGGAACTAATAAGATTTCACAGAAAGCAGCATCAGAAAACTTCTAGGAGCATCCCGTAGTTTTACGCCGGATCCTCAATTTTGTGTCAGCCATAATATTATATGGCATTGTTGAAAACGGATTCGATTCATGCGGATTTCGCATTTCACTCGATGGCAATTTCTTGATCATCTCCTATTCTATTGGAATATTTATACGGAGAATGGCGTGGTCAAGTTCAAAAGTATGGAGCGATACTGACATTGAGTTAATTTCACCTTGTTCAAAACGATGAGATCGATGTTCGCATATAGAAGATCACTCAACGAGTCAAAAACGAAGCGATGCATGGCTAGTATTGATTATATAGAATGATAGTGATTATGCTGTTAGTTGACTGATTTCGTTAAATAACTGACAACTGATTCGATAAAAGTGTCGAAATGCGAACGAAACCATGGGACAACCCAATATATCCAGAAAGGTCAGCCTTGATCTGACCTCGGCATACGTAATTGATCATTTTCTAGTATTATTCGGGAGGTTAGTAACATGTATTATTCGGCTATTATCTCGACAGCTCTGTCTTCAGTGTCGTATTATTCGATACGATGTTCCACAGGTGAATTTTCATTCATGTATGTGTGCGTTCGTTGAACTATCAAGTGAAATCAGTGCAAACAAATTCAGAATTTACGCAATTGTATCAACCAGAGAAAAAGCGAACAACTACCGGCTACTATTTTTCAACGTCATAATGATCTACTCCAGTATAGTGAAGTCGTCCAACAGGTTTTCCTGAATTTGAGGTGAGTACTTCATGTGGCACCCTCTTATGGTCTTCGCCCGCCCACATCATCTGTGCTCGATAGGAAATCGACTAATCTTGGAAACTGTAAGAAAACGACTTATGTGTTGTAATGAGGGATCGTAAAATTGACCATAAAGCCAATACCGTCCTCTCTGGCAATTTCAGAGTTATTACTTTGGAGATTACTTGTCTCCAGAGTGGTAGAATAGCTTACCCTTGTCAACTATCCTCTAAAATTCGCTAGAACGGGCACTCAATTTTTAACAGTGGTTTTTGTTTTTGCAGCTTTTGAAGACTCCATTAGAATATATGTAATGAAACCTAAGAAATCTCTCGCAAGGAAGCGCTCAGAATCTTTTAAACGACTACATTTTTATACATTATTTTGGAAATTTCCCATGAGACAAAAGGCAGCTCTTCATGCAAATCGCCAATTTACAAGATTAAATGCTTTCACTTTTGTTTCTACTCACCAACTTCCATTGTGGATATGAGTAACATCTATAAAAGCAATACATTCATTGACATTAATTTCAGAGCACCCAGAATGTGAATACCTGGAGATGGAATTTGGCAACTTCTCGATAGGCGAATTAGTGAATTTTTAGCCGAAACTTCAGAGCGGCACTGGTGTAAAATCAATTCCGGCTAATATTGCAACCCTTATGATATTATTTATTTCACAGCAGAAATTCGGCGTACAAAAAATGTATGTGGGAACTTCTCAATTACTTCTCAAGTACAGTAGTAAGCACAAATTCATCACATTGTGCATTTTAATATAAAAGCTTTTTGGATACATAGAAAAGGCCCAAAATGGACCGAAGAAAGGAGTTCCTCGTAATTACATTTGACCTCGAACCATACCTGAGGCTGATCTTTCCGGCCTGAGTTAGAAACAACCCACTGATTCACTAGCCCTGAGCGGCTGTTCTTCAAGGAATAATTGATACACAAAACATCAAAACGGTGAGTGTTTAGATCGAAGTTTTTACCATGCGATCCGAAGTTAATTTCTAGCGTTTTCATTATGGTTATGGAGGTTTTGGCTCAGTGGATTGTGGATCAATATAATCTTTCCGGGCTCTGAAGAAATCGACCGGCCGAAACGATAGCCACTTGGAATGTAGTATATTCAAGCTGCACTAGTAGCTGTACTTTTCCATGCTTCGCTAGTATCTAATAAAGAATATCAATAATACCTCGGAACGGCGAAAAGAAGGAGATACTCTTTTCAATATAATTTACTGCTCTCCACTCTGATTGTTCAACACCCATATGGTTGCTAGTTTATTAATAGTGTACTGCCGCAATAAACATCGATTAGATAAAAATGTTTGTCTCATGAATATCACAGCTCACTTTCAATTTCAGCTGACAGTGACCGTTACCGTGTACAAATGCGAGCCAAGCGGACCCGATCTTAGCATTCGAAGCGCTCTGTCTACCACATTTTGCCACATCGACTTCGACCAATTAGCCATGACGATGTTCGTAGTCTACAAAGAATTTTTTCTCCATAAAACGAGGTTGTGCAAATATGAAACGGTCCAAACCGTGAGAGTTCCTGAGAGGGACAAGTGCTTGCTGTTGATAGGCATTGCAACCATCTGACATTTCATCTTCGGCGGTCCCCCATTCTTTGGGCAAATTCCCGTCACTGTGCTACCGACGAAGATACAGCTTTCAATTCTATCGTCTTCTAGAAACTATAAGTCTTAGAAACACTTTTTGTTCTGTGCACTAAAGAACCGGAAAAATCAAAACAATGTTGGGCACTATTTTCTTTTACTTTTCAAAAACTACAAAACTTCACCTATTACACTGAATACTATATCATTCTGAAAATGAAGTATGTGTAACATTCGAAAAGATATCCTCAATCGGAAAGGTTTTGATGTTATGACTCTATGATAGTTTTCCTCAAATTCTGAGGTATTTTATATTAAGTTTATAGAAAATATCTTTGTTTGCAAAAAAATAATTACAGCTCTGCTTTTTGAATGCCCCTTATAGTTTGGATTGGAATTTCCTAAATGAATGTCGACTGCTGGAAACTTACGCTCCTCGGCTGGTCTCATTAAGAGCTGACATTGCAATGGTTCGTAGGTGGTATCAACTTTAAGTTGACCCAGAATGTTGGAGATCACAAAATCAGGCAAGAGTGCTCTCCGACCTTCGATTTCGAGAACATCGACGACCTAAAACGCAAATCTTTACTATTTCGAAGAGTGGCTCGGAAGTATTCTCGATGAACATATGCGATTGGCAAGTAAGTTAGCTTTAAAGACTGAAGATCTCTGAAAAAATTGCAGCTCATCACATACGTCTTTTCACAATTCAGGAAAAAGAATGAAATGCCTAAGTTGTAAACTCACTGTTTGCATTGCAAAACGTTGCGCAAATGCTTGAACAGCATCCTTGCTAGTTGCAATACCAGGGACTAGGGTAGGGATTACGTTGCTTTCTGTGTAAACCGCGATAATAGGTAAGTTGCTGGGCCCGCTGGCAGTGAAGGTCCTAGTGCTCGCTGCAACGAAATTTCATAGTTTATGTAGTGAATGGTTGTAAATCAAATTATTAAGCACTTCAAAAACCGGCTCTCCTCGTTATGACCATTCAATAACACTTTCTTTTATAATTTAGCTAATATCACATGGTTGAAAAATACACTTTATTCAGCCGATATTCTGACGTCTTCGTTTCTTCAGAGCCGATAATTATAGTCGATTTTCCACAATTATTCGTTTTCGTTGTCGTTCAATGTCGACTCTTCTCGGTGGAGCACCGCCCGCATGGAAAACCTCACTCGGCAATGTTCATTGATATAGAAATGTTTTCATAAATGATGTTTCTCAATCGACTGTTTCAGAAATTTCAGTCGAGAACATCGATCTATTCGGAGAACTGCTTTAAGCCTTTTCAAGGTTTAGCATTCACTGGCTTATGTACATTTCGGCAATCTTTCAAAATATATCGATGCTCTAAAGTGACATTTTCAAACAGCAGATTGAAGGTGGATATCTATATAACCGCATGCCGTCGACTTTGAAAAGGATCAGACATCATTTCACGTTTTCAGGCCCTGGTATGTTGTCATTTAAACCATTATCAGCTTATAATTAACGCTGGCAACTTTTAAAGCAGTCATCTTGTATACGATAACATCGTTAAGTGAAATTCTTCATTCGAGCAATGTTCCTCTGCAGATAATTGGACGTGCACAACAGCGAAGACGAAGATTACAACGATGGCGAACGACAGTGGAGAATCAAATCTAATCACGGGCTCCGAGATGACGTAGACTCCAAAACGTTGACCCATTAAAGTTCATTTATAAACCCCTGGTGTTAGCTGAATCGAAAATGTCACTGCATTGAAGAACTTCTTGGTTTTATCTTTCTTCTTATATAGAATTGAAAAGGCCTGCGTAAAGATAGCGCAGGCGACAACATTTGAGCAATGACGGAGTGGAGTGCTAGGCATGATCATTCTGATCAGAGTCCTTAACCATCTCAGATTAAAATATTTGTAGAATTATAATAATTCCTATTCAATACTTTGACCTCCAGGAATCACTCCACATCCAAACACGGTTGAGATCGAGACTAGCAGCAATATCATGAATGGAGCGCTCGAAGGTCCTGCCTTGTTTGTAAGAATAATCATTTTCCTAAAATAGAATAAGTATCATAGACTCGACTAAGACTAATGTCTAGATCTTTTGAGTGAGATCATGCATGAGAGAACAACGGATTCGGCACTCCGCACCTATCTAAGAGTGACGTCGTCTTGGCCAATCTTTGATTTTTCTGGTTTTTTTAAAGTGCTTCCAATGATCTTTAACTCTCTTAATTCAAAACATAATCTTTGAATGCGTATTTCGTGACACATTGTGCTAATGCGATGCACAAAAGATCAATTATCGAGAAGAAAAAGTCTCTGTCAAATCTTGAATGAAAATGGAACGCGTGGGAGCGACAAGATAAAGAAAAATTGCAGTGAATGCGCCAGTTTCCCAAGTTGCTCGGCTTATATTCGGCTTCCGCCTTCTTATTTCTGA